ATCCTTCTTTTAAAAATTATTTGAATATTCCACCATATCTTAATCCAAAAAGCTTTTATACTTTTACATGACCACCAGATATGATAATAAGTAGCATCCAAGCAACCACATCTCCAACATTTAGGCTGTAGGTTTGGATACATACGAGACATTTTTTGTGGATCAAGGTGCCATCTATAAAACATTTTATAAAAATTTTCCCATAAGTTTTGGGCTTGCGTGAATTTAACATTCCTCATCCAAATAATCTCCCATGTATCTAATAAAATCGGTTCATCAAAATTTTGTGCCCACTTAACCATACAATCTTTAACTAGCTCTGCTTCTGAATCCAATTCCACCAAGACACCATAAATTCTTTTAATATGGGTTCAACTTTGATCTCTAATTTGTTTTAACGAATTCTCATCCTCTCTAAGCAAGCCCACATTATAATCTATCTTCCACCTTTCCAATAGTTGTCTATACTGAAACCATGAATAAATAATATTTTCTTGTGCTAATTCATCCATAGATTTTAATTGCCAATTTTTACCATCCCACTTAAGTAATTGTGTATAAGAAATAGTATCCATCTTAACTCCTCTCCTTATTCCTTCTATTGCATGCCATGGAATAGCCCATAATGGAATTCTTGAATCACTTCTATAATATTTCTTCCAAACCCGAAGTAAAGAAATTCTTAAGATATGAGATCTAAAAACCCTATCAACCTTTTTATTATAAATTAAATAGGCATGCCATCCAAAAAGTAAATCCCATCCCTCCAAAAGGAGTATATCTACATTTGTTAGATTAACCCAATCACTGATTGATGTTAAGACCACAGCATCATAATACAATTTCAAATTCTGTATCTTTAGTCCACCTCTCTCTCGTATATCTTGTAAAATTTTAAGTTTTACTCTTGGTTTTTTCCCAGATAAATTTATTGATACCTTTCTGCCACTCATCTAAATTTGCTTATTTCTTTAAAATAGGTATCATTTGAAATAAAAAAAGAAATTTTGGCAGAACATTCATTTTAATCGCTGCTATTCTCCCCAAAAGGGACAATTGCAGCTTTTTCCAATTGTCCAAATCCTTTTGTATTCTAACCCACAGCGTTTCATAATTATTTTTATACAGTTTTGCATTGGAAGCAGATAAAATAACACCCAAATATTTTACCTTATTAACGACCTCAAAACCTGTCAATCTAATCAAGGTCTCCTTATCCAAGTTGGTCATGTTCTTAGGCAATATTTTAGTCTTATTATTATTAATTTTAAAACCTGAAACTTGTCCATACTGATTTATCAATGGTAACAACTCCGTTATGGAATGAATTGGTTGAGATAAAGTAACAACCAGATCATCTGCAAAGGCCCTTAGTTTATATTCTTTTTTATTAATTTCTATTCCTTTTATTTTCGATGATTCCCGAATTTTGATCAATAAAATTTCCAAAGTTAAAACAAACAGCAATGGGGACAATGGACAACCCTGTCTGGTCCCCTTTTCAATTGAGAATACCTCTGATAAACCTCCATTAACTATAAGTTGTGCCGTTTGTTTTTGATAAATGGCTCGGAGAGCCTGTAAAATTTTATCTCCAAAGTTCATTTCCTCAACCAATCTTAACATAAATTGCCAATTTAATTAATCAAAAGCTTTTTCAGCATCTAAAAATATCAAACCTGCAGAGATTTGGTTGCTCTTATCCAAATATTCTATTAAGTTAATAATTTGTTAACATTATTTTTCATATACCTTCCAGTTATAAAGCCAGTTTGATCCATATGTACTAGTTGATTCAACACAATCATAAATCTATTAGCTAAAATTTTCGAAAAAATCTTATAATCTACATTCAAACGAGATATAGGTCTATAATTCTTTGGTAGAGTAAGATCTTGGTCTTCTTTTGGAATCAAAGATATAAAAGCTCTACCCCAAGACAAGGGGGTCTCTAAACCCTGTAATATATTATTAAAAAGTTCCCTTAAAGGTTCTATCAACTCATCTATCAAAGTCTTATAATAAATTGATGTCAATCCATCAGTACCAGGTGCTTTTCCTAACTTTAATTCTTTAATTGCTATCATCATTTCCTCTATAGTAATCAATCCATTAATTTCTTGTTTCTGATCTTCTGTTAATTTAGGAAAATGAGCATCTTGTAAATATTTATCTGAAACCTGTACTTTCCTGCCCATATATAATTTCTTATAATAATCTAAAAAAGATTTCTTAATCATTTCCTTCTGGAATACCAATTTACCATTAAAATTTATTTTATCTATAATTAAGTCTTCTTATTTTTTGTAACTGTCTTCTGTTGTGCTTTGTTAAAGCTTGATAATATATGAAAAATATGCAAATGAGCCAAAGTTCAACATTGTAAAGTGCAAATGTAATTTAATTAACTGAAAAATTAAATATATGCTTGGTTTATCTATGGCAGAGTCATAATAATAGGTACTATATAATTAGTGTGGTTGTTTTTGAATATTTGAATTTTTTTCTTGACTATAATTGTCTTATACTATAATGCATTCAACTGTATCCAGTTATGTATCCAGTAATTCATATTTTAATTACCGTGACATGGCAGTTTAAGTCCAGAATGTTCCATTTGTAAACTCTCAGATTATCTTCAGTGTTCATGTTTCAAAATTGCACCCAAAATTTTGGGAAGATGTTGAGCATCCCTGCTTCGTAGCTCATGTGCTACAGTCTAAATCTGGATTTATCTCCTCAGCTGTAGTCCAATAGAATGATTTTCATTATGCTTTATTTTTCTCTTTTTTTCTGAAACTGAGGACTAACCTGGATCTGTTTGCTTCTGATTAGATTTTATCTTTTTATAAACTTAACTTATGGCTTGTTTTGTGTTTGTTTGCCCTACAGCCAGACAGCTGATTTAAAAAGGGTTGCTGCAGGACATGTCAACTTAAATGTGCTCTTTCTATACTTCTGGTCTTTACTCTGCTTTGGTAACAAGGCCAGTGAATAATTGTGAAGCTTACTGCAGGGCAGATTAAAGTTCAGCCACTGGTTTGTTTCCCAAATGGAAGTAAAAAAATCAGTTACTGCCATTAACATGGACTGATGGTAAAAGACAGCCAAATTTTGACAGCTGGAGTAGTGAGTTTAGTTAGTTAATTAATTAGTTAGTTTAGTTACTTTGCTTTAGGGAGGTCCAGATCTAATTTCTTTGGTAGTCTTAATGCTGCTGTTAAAAGTGTAGGTCATGGGTGTCAAACTGCCAGCCCGCAGGCTGGATGCGTCATCCAGAAGTACCCACCCCATTGCCAGCAATGGCAAAACTGTCCCGATATGTTGCGCGACATCATGTGATATCTCGAGTTTGACATGTCTGATGTAGGTACAGCAGAGCTCTCTAAGTATTTGGAGAATCCTTGACCTACTTTTCTAGTAATAGCAATACCAAGATTGCTGGAGGAAGCACTCAGAATGCTCCAGCTATAATTTTCTCTAGTTACATCGGTGCTTCTTTTCCTTTTGGTATTATGTCAGTCCAGTATGGGAAAGCAAAAAGGCCTTGTAGAAAAGTTAGTTATGGTATTAACAGGTTCACCTGCTACAATCAAAAGCAACTAGTAGAGCAAGGCACATTCAATGCACTGACATCACTCATCATGGAAATAGCTAGGTTTGTTTTAGGAGAAGATGAAAAAATTACTTCTCTACCAGATTAGAAAAACTTGCCAAATGGCCTTGGCAATATACATGGTCATGCTGATATATCTTTTAAGAATAGTAGACAGTTATGAAATTGTGTTAGTGTGCCCCTGTTCCTGACTTCTGTCTTCTATAGGTTATAAAAAAAAGGTAAAGGAGTCCATGTGGACTTTACTTTGTTAGTGTTGCTGAGTATTGGGGCAGTGCTCATGTCTGTTTCAAGGCCATTGAGCCAGCGGTGTCTGAAGACCTTTTTTGTGGTTATGATGAAGTCATCTTTAAAAGTTAGGTTAATTTGTTAACAGGATTTGCATACTTTCTATACATATTCTAACATTAGCAGAAGTGTCATGTAAGGGACTGGACTGAATGTTCTTTAGTTCATTATATTCTCAGATAAGTTAGGTTGAGTAACTGGCTCCACATCACCTAATGAGCTCAATGCTCTAGTAAGGACTTCTACCAGAGTTTCTTTGGCACCAGTTCAACCCATTAACAAGTGTGCTTATTAGTTTCCTTAGGTCAGTGCTTCCAGAACCTGAAAAAAATTACCCAAGATTGGGAAAAGTGGTTTTTCTTTGGATAAATGACAGATGAACCCATTAACCAACCATACTAGGTGTGGGGGAAATTGCACGCGTAGCAAACTGCCATGTTTTTCCCCCCACAAACCTCATAACCTCTTGATACCCTTTGTCCTAATGAAGCAGCCAGACGGTCATCCCCTTTTGACTTAATATCTCACCTACCTAAATAGATAATATGCTTAAGTTACTTCCTATCTCTTCCTGCCTTTGTTAGTTCTTTCACCTTTTGATCTATCTGTATTTGTTTTTACCTGGTCTCTGATCAGGTAATATGTTACTAGAAAATAGTTGCTTATATGAAGGAATTTTCCACTGAAGAAACTTTATGTCAGCATCTAATGGTTAAACTTATGAATGTAAAATGTCAGCATTTAATGGTAAAAGCCTATGTATGTAAAAAGTATATAAAAACCAATAAACATACAGAAACTCTCAAGCTGTCTCAAGCTGTGACAAGCAGCTCTGCAGCAGCTTCAAATCTCTGCTCAAGACATGCCTGAGTCTTTTTCTTTACAAATAGGGACATTTAAAGAAGGATTTTCTGATAAGCCATAAAAAGGACTTATAAGCAGTTTTGAATAATGAAGGAAAATGTCTTTGACTGTTGAAATTCTAAAAAAAAGTTGTGTTTAATGTGAACTTCAAAACCAATTAATTTACACATGAAAATAACTTCTAATTTAACATTACATTTAAAAAAAAAACATTTTTCTTTTTTTGTTACAGAAACAGGCTCTCCAATAACAGCTTCTTGTATTGGCTTAGGAAACTCTCTAACTCCTCCTGCAGGACAGACTGGAAAGTTGGTACCAGGATACAATGGTAAAGTTGAAAAGTAGATGCTATTAAAATACACTCTGTGTCTACGTGTGTGTGTGTGTGTGTGTGTGTGTGTGTGTGTGTGTGTGTGTGAGAGAGAGAGAGAGAGAGAGAGAGAGAGAGAGAGAGAGAGAGAGAGAGAGAGAGAGAGAGAGAGAGAGAGAGAGAGAGATCTTTTTAACTATGCTTTTCCCGACAAAAAGGAACAGGTAAACAATCTTTAAAGCTTAAGTGTTGATGTTTTGACAGTTTAGAACCAACACAACTTTGATCTTTTTTTAACTGCTTCAAAATTCCTGTTATCTCCAAGATGAAAGAAACCCTGCAAAAGATATCTTTATGTGATATATTTTTGAAATTGTACCATGGATCAATTGTTTTCTAAAGCTGCAATAAGTGTTTTCACTCTGACATCAAGGCACAACATAATTTAATGTGGACTGTTATTGCTTCATTTCTTGCTTGGATTCTTTAGAGCAGGGTGTCCAATCCTGGCAACGTTTAAGACTTGTGGACTTCAACTCCCAGAGTTCTCCCACCAGCCATGTTGATGTCTACAAGTCTTAAAAGTTGCCAAGTTTGGACACCTCTGCTTTAGAATATCCCAACCCATATAGGTTGTCACATGGGGCTTTCTGTTCTGTAGAACAAATGCCCAGGAGAATCACTTATATATTGAATTATATGGGGCAGAATCAATAAAAGTCAAAAAATTAACTTAATACAAACTGCCTCACAGAGATTAAATTGCTTGTGGGCCAAGAAATATATCTCTCATAGTAAATTTGGCCAGAACTGCAGATACTTCTTGAAGATCTGTATGGGAGAATGAATTTTGTAGGTTATAATGAAATCATGGCAACTGCCCTACATTCCATGGGTGTTCCTGACATATTCTGAAGAAGATATTTTATACTGTTGCATTTTTGTATTTATATTATAGTATCTGCACTAACATATGAAAGAAATCTTAAATTGAGGAGCTTTTGAGCTTCGTATTTGCATATTCAGAATGTATCGATTTGGTAACCTCCATAAATATGTTTCACGATTCAGAAAATCTTTATTGAAATTATCTAGAGTTCAACTACCTTATCAGGGAGACTTTTATGAACCAGACCTAAAAAGGCAATAGCTGTTTCTAATTTGAATAACAAGTGAAGAAAAAATAGAACATGCAATCAAAATTAAAGAAGTAACACAGTTTTCATAATGTTCTGATTTAACTTTGAACAGCAAGGGGTGTTTTTTCTTAAAATATAATTAAAGCTAAAATTGTAAAATGAAATTATGAAATGTAGTTTAATTAACTCAAACATAGCTGATTATTCTTTATATAAAGGATGCATGGAAGGAAATGCTTTTAAATTTTTTATATTCTCTTTTCCTATTTTGATAAGATGCCTGGTAATGATGAAGCAAAAAGAAATTCAGATAACTATGGCAAATGACCCATGTTTATTAGCCTAGAAATAGATATCGGCTTCTACTTCCTCATCTTTCATTGTTCTCAAGACTGTAAATTTTGAAAACAACAGCAATTTTCATTCTATTTAACTTTCTGAAGTTGGTTAACCCTGAAATACTTCTATTTTAATTAAAATTGAAACTATTATTCTTGTTTTTATGACTTGTGATGCTTTTTTGTTTTAGTTGTGATTCTGGATGACAACAAGCAGCCTGTAAAAGTGAAGACTCTAGGAAACATAGTGGTGAAGTAAGCAATTTATGACTTCCAAAACATTTACAACTGAGCAAAGTAAATAGAGATGAGGGAATGAGAACATATTCAAAATGGACAATTGAAGAATAATTTATATTGTTATTATGGGAGACCCAAGTCTACTGATAGGATATTGTAATATTGATCTGCTGCAATATCTGTTTGCCAAGAAAATACTTGAAAGACAATCTCCATTTAAGGAAAAAACCTAATTGAAATAGAAAACATAGGTTCATGTACTGAAAGATAGAACTGTATTCTGAAAAAGGTAATTACTTCAGGTAAAGATAGCTTTTGATCATAAAATCTAGGTTATCATGTTGATTTAAAGATGGACACTTGAAGCTAGCACATAGAATATTTTGTTGCATTACTTCTAAATATTGTAGGCCAGAATATGTTCCTGTTTATTTATGTATTAAATAAACAGGAACATATTCTGGCCTACAATATAGTCTATAGGGCTTACTGCTTTCTATGTGCTGTACATTATATATAATCTAGCTCAATAATCAAACCAACAAGCCAATTCATTTATTAAATGCCTCAAAAAGGATTAACAACCATGAGCTATAAATATTTGGTGAATAGTCTCAAGATAGAATAAGAGGCATCATTTTGATGGAAACTTTACTGAGAAACTTTATGAGTTTTAGCAGATGTTGTATGCCAATTCCAGATACCGTAAAACACCATCACAAATTCTTACATTTTCCCTTTATTATTGCCTAAGCACATTTGTTGCAAGTCATCAGGTAGAATTCATTTAACACAGAGACACACATACAGAGAGACACATACAGACACAGACACAGACACAGACACACACACACACACACCACATATATATAGGGAGGGAGGGAGGGGGAAGACGGAGAGCAGAAATGCCAGAACAGCCGCTCTTTGCAGGACTGGGGGGGGGGAATTACGGTCGGGATGACAATGGCCTTGTGGGTGGGGAAGGATAATAGCCCGACAGTGGGCCTGGATCATAGCGTGAGATACAACACTCAAGATCCCCCCAGAATGGGAGGGGAGGGAGACCAGGCGCAGGGACGTGTTGACAGACACCCTCCAGGTGCTTGCACATGCGCCAGAAGAGCACTTGAGGATCGTAGAACAACCAGTGGGGCCAAGGACAGGTTGCCAGATGCGGAACAACTGAGCGCTGAAAGGATGAGTACAATCAGCAGGCCGATGACACACTAAAGGAGCCAGGCGCAGAGGCAGGAGGTTATATGAGTTGGCTCCCAGATCTCCTTTTACTCCAACTCTGACAACGTCAGCAGTTTGGCCAACAAAAGCTTAGTGACTCTTTTTAACCACAGGCTTGTTTCTATTAGAATCCATGGCTCATGGCCCAAATGTTATAAAATTAGGTTGATTTACTTGCATAACACTTCACAGTGTGCAGCATTTGCTCTCGGATATTTAAATTATGAATCGCTTCCTGTTGCTATTTTGTGTTATAAGATCTTGTGTGGAAGGTCTTCCTGGATGGATGATTTAAATTTTAATATAGATTGTACTATGAACTCAAATGTCATTCTTTTGGGGGGCATAAAGGTGGAAATAAATGCCTGCTTTGTTTATTTTACTTCTTTCCATCCAACCTTCTATACTTGCAACACCATTGAAAATATACTTTTATTGTTTCTTGAAAGGGGTTTTTTGAGAGACTTATTTTTAACAATAAATTATGAAATCATAACACTACTAATGTTGTGGAAAACTCTTGAGGAATATTGAATTCTTTAGAAAATTTCACATGAGTTTCTTCTTGTAATACATTTGAGGGTATTGTAACTATGGTATTTTAGCTATAAATTAAATTTATGTATTCTAAATGATAACAATTCTTGACAATGTGTGAGAATGAAAATCACTGCTATTAATCATGTTTGGCTTGCTTCTCTTCTATTAGCCACTCTATAAGGAATAATTGTTTGTGTGATATGACTAAAGGTAAATACTGTGTCTTAAGCATAAGACTGTTGTGGTTGCCCTAGACTTGCATAGGAGGGAGAAATCAATTTGACAGTGGTCTGGTAGAGGAAAACTAGAGTTGATAGCTGGAAGTTCCTGTGCTCAAAGTTAAGGAAAAAGTAACTTTTCTAGCCCTGCATTTAAAAGTATTCTGAATTTAGAAGAATATATTTCATTATTTTTTAGTTTTCTGTATTATTGTATTCTGCATTTATATCCCTCCCATTTTTTAAATATACAATAGGTTGCCTTTGCCACCAGGAGCCTTTTTAGGTCTTTGGAAAAATGAAGAGCTTTATAAAGAATTATATTTCCAAAAATTTCCGGTAAGAAGAGATTAAATATATAATAGTATACATTATTTAAAATGTGAAATGCTCTATATTTTTCCTTTAATTTTGATCAATGGCTATCCTCACTTTCCTTTTACTTATTTCCCATTTGGCTTTTGAATCCTGAAAGCTTTTCTTAGCTTTATGGAAATGTTTAATTTTCAGTCTTTAAACTTGCTGACTGGTTTAATTTTAGTTAAAATATATCATTTTATATTAAAATATTTTACATGGTAAAAAAAATTCCTGTGAGCTCACACATGCATGCAGACACATATACACACATGTGGTATATTTAGGATAGCAAAAGCTTCAGTTATGCCAAATCTGTATATTTTTCTTTCTCTTCCAAAAATCTTTATCAGACGGGATCACATAGAAGATGAACAGCACTCATGGTAAATGCTTTTGTATGTTTCATATTGAATTTACATAGAAAGCACTTTAATGATGTGTCAACCTGTCAACCTCCATGAACAGAACCATGAAGTATAGACTGAAACTTAGAAAAAATGCCAGGGATCAAATGAGGTACTTATTTGGTAATGCATTGATTTAGGAGCAAAAATGTAATATTGTTGTGTCTAATATTCTGAAGCATTTTTCATTTATCTACTTTTCTTCTTAGGGATATTACGATACTATGGATGCAGGTTATATGGATGAAGAAGGCTATCTATATGTCATGTCTCGTGTGGATGATGTGATAAATGTTGCAGGCCATAGAATTTCAGCAGGTGCAATTGAAGAGGTAAAGATAAAACAACCAGGAAAAATGGTACCTCAGTCTCAAATGCACAAAAAGAGGAGAGGGGGGGGGGTCTGTCTCAAAATTATTTTTTTCTGGTGAGTCTCTTTTTTTAGCAAAGTTTTCTCCATGAAGACTTAATGAATAAGTGGAGCAACAGGAGCAGTAAATGGGAGCAGTGCTCTTATCATTACTAGACTGTTCCTCTTATATACTCACTGAAAGCCATCATATTAACTTCTGACAATATTCTAGACTAATGCTTTATCCGAGACACTGAAGAAAAAATAAATGGTGGCTCCCTGACAGCATTGATTGGAATGCAGGAAAAAGAAATAACTGTTTTTAAGACAGGGTAGAGAGGATGCATTGTTCAGCCTCGTGAGGGTTTAGTGAAGCATATCTGTTCTGGACCGTATAGCTCTATGTAACTTCGTATAGCTCTGTGTAACCCTAACTAATGAGCATGTATCACTATGTTAGAATATCTGGCAGTTATTGGGTTAAATGCTGGGTTTGTTGATGGGTCAGTGGGAGGAGTTTCTAAAGGGCATTGGGAGACTTCCTGGACACAAGCCAGATTGGAATGTCTTTGAAAGAAGCATGGGCCATCAGATGTCACCACGATGAGCCTGCGCCGTTATAAAGATGGTATGGAAGAGAGCATCATTCTTTTACCTATAGGAATGGACAAAAGATGTATTTTCCAGAAGTAACAACCATAGCATGAATGCAAGTAATCTTTCTGATTGAAATATATTTTTTGTTATGAAATCATTTCTATTGAGTTATCTATCTGACTTGATTTAAAAGAAGGCATTTTTAACTCAGAGTCAGAATAGTAAAAGAATGCTCAGAACTCATATCAGCTTTATAAAGGCAAACAGTAATTTGATGGGGCCAGTCTCCCACTAAACGCCTGCAAAGTAAAGTCAGTGTGTTTGTTTGGCAGACAGCGGTTCAAAAAGGTGTAATTCAGATGCATTGTTTTGTTAATTCGCTGTTAACTCTGCAAGTAGCCACTGCATGACAAAGTTTATCTGTATAGACGAGCATCTGCTGGCAAGGATTCATTACTAGTCAAACTCTGCATGCTAGCCAACGTTTTAAAGAAAAGTAAAAGTTATAAAGTGCTTTGTGTTTTGTTTGGATGCTTCTGCTAAATTGTCTTAGGATCTGTTTACAAGCCAACGTTTAAGTCAAAGAGATATTGTGCTGTCTATCTCAGGAAAAGTTTAGCCTTCTTTAGCCACTTTCAAAACAGTTGTTAATGTCGTTTGCATGTATCTCCGTTCAAGAGAAGAAAGCAGTTGTGTATTTCTATAGCTCTACTCTTTCTGTGGCTTTTCACATTTGAAAGGATCAAAGGAATTGTGAGCAGCAACCCCCCTTCTCCCTTTCCTTTGCTGGCAATTCGTCTTGAGGCAATGAGGGGATGGTTTCAAAGGATTGTCTGTGAATTCAACTTTGTTTGGAATGTCTGGGAATGCATGAAACTGACATGGAAAGGATTTCTTGCTAACTTTGGCAAATTTCTGTTGGCTTTGTTTGATGTTCAGAAAGGGTGATTCCCCCCTCTTTTCTGGCCCCAACACAAGCAATAAAAACATTTGTCGCCTTAGCAACCAGGCCAAATTCCTTGTCACTAAGGAAAGCAATTAAGGCAATTAACCACCCAGCCAGAGCACTGGTAAAAGAAGCTAAACTCCCCCCTCCCTTAGGAATGCTTGGAATTTCAACCAATGTCAATGGAATAAGAAGGCATCTGGTTTCAGAGGCAGAACCAACCCCAATAGCATTGCAGTAGCACCCCCTGGTGGTCAATTTATACATGACACCCTTATGCGATTTCTTGCTTCTTGCAAGAAGCATCTACATGCTGGACTACAACAACTGACGATTAATTCAGCACATAGCAGGCTCATAACAAGCCAAGCTAAGAGAACCCCATAGAGGGAAAGAAGTGAAGCACTGCATGCTTCACTAATTACGCAGAGTAAATCTGATAATTAAAGAGCAAGTTACTTAACTTTATCCCAAGCTACCAAAACCCCCTAGAGGGCACAGAGTAAACTTCGCTAAAGTATTCACTCACTCAAGCTGACGACCAAGTTGTTCCAGTTTGAGGGAAATTAAGGAGAAGAACAAGCAGAGCCAATTGTCCTTACTTATTATCACAAGCTGATGACCAAGGGGTTCCAGCCTGCAACTTAATGGCCAGGTGGGAGTTTTGTAGCTCTACATTCTCTCAGTGGCTACTAGCAGTAACGTGGTAATAAGAGGAATTTTGGCTGGCCTTTCTTCAGATGCCCTTGGGGTTAAAGGAGGAACTACACGCAAGCCTTTAATCATGCCCAAAGCCAGCCCTCTAGTGGACAAAGGGTGAACCTTGAAGGAAGAGCACCCTGGTAGCCGACCCGCAGCAAGTGACCCCTAGTGGTGAAGGGGTGAATTGCGCTGAAGTACCCACAAACGCAGGAGAATGCACCCAGTGGCGCCTCCACCCACAGACAGCACCTCTGAAGCTGATCTGCAAGTAGCGACCCCTAGTGGTCAAAGAGAGAAGTTCTTCAAATTCGCTTCAAAATAGCTGAGAAGAACACTGAACCTACCCTAGCCATGGCAGAGTGTCCCACTCGTCTAGCAGAAGGGATTCAACCAACCAGCCTAGATGAGGCACCCCAACCAGCCAATCAAGGAGAAATGCTGCAAACAGCCAACCTTGACTTGTACACAGAAGCTGAAGCTCAAGCCTCAGCAAGGCCAAAGGCATGATTTGATTTGAATTCAAGATAAATCAAGGAAAAAAAGCATGAATTCATGCAAACCGTTTCACAATTTGATATAGGAAAATTTGATCCATGGAATGAGGAAGTATTAAAATTCCTGCGGCACTCCGTTAGAGGCAGGCAGAATGGGATGAGAATAGCAAATCTAACCTCTGTGAAGGATATTAATCTGCAAAGTTTTACTGGATTTTGTAAATATTTGTATGAAATATTTCTCCACATCATTTTAAAAATGAACCAGTAAACGTGAGGAAAGGCCAATACAATAGCCATCATTGAGCAGAATCTATAGAGACTCAGTGAATTAATTTAGAAATTGTTCTAGTCTAAATAAAAAATATTTTAAAAAACATTTAAGGTTTAAAACTATTTTAAAATAAACTCATGCCAGGTGATCTCCTCAGCATGGTGGTAAGTTGGGCAGGACACATTGGCAAGGTTTGGCATTTCCTGAACGGGACTTGGTTGCAGCTTTCATTGCAAGTTGTATTGGCAGGACAGGGCACAGAAGTCTTATCATTCCGTTAACACAAGAAAGAACTAAATTAATGTTTGTGGCCTTGCTTAGCACATTAAGAAGCTGAGAATTGGGAAAATCAAAGAAACTCATTAAGTTTTGCCACCCAAGGAGCTCTGTTAGAAAACTGATTGGTTACATAACTCAGTCCCTTGCATTCTCTTTCTATAGAACTGATATTGCATCATATATTTTCTGTAGCAACTCCAGAGGCAGTGTATCATATATAGAACTTATAAAATGTTTATTAAAGATAGTCCTCAACTTACAACCATTCATTTAGTATAGCATTTGAACTTACAACAACACTGAAAAAAATAACTTACGACCAATTTTCACACTTACCTTGCAGTATTCCCATGGTCACATGATCAAAATTTGGGCACATGGCAACTGGAATGTATTTATGATAGCTAGCTGTCCTAGGGTCATGTGATCACCATTGGTAACCTTCCCAGTTAGCTTCTAACAAGCAATCAATCGGGAAAAGCCAGATTCACTTAATGACCACATGATTTACTTAACAAATGTAGTGATTTGTTTAACAACTGTGCAAAATATTTCCTAAAATGGGGCAAAATTCACTTAACAGCTGCTTTGCTTAGCAACTGAAATGGATTAAAGCAGGTCTCTGTTTTAATTTGTGAATCTGATTTGTTAAAGTGATTTGATCAAAGCTTCAAACTGAAATATCCTTTTGAAATTTGGAGCATGATCTAATTCAAAACCATGTATTTATTTCATTGAAATTAGATAGGCTTCTTCCCACACAAATGCTTGGAAAGTTACTCCTTGCTGTTTAGTGAAAAGTTACATTTTATGGGTTTTCCATGCTACTCTCAGAATTTAGGAATCTATTTTAGTATGGAGGTCCAAGAGGAAATGAGCAGTCTACTCATATATTGTGACTCCTGCACATTCCTTTTTCTACATATCAGAGCCAACCACCACATAAATTATCCCACTACAAATTCATTTATAATCATATATGATCTCAGTCAAACATGGCTGGGAAGCATAGAGTTTTTCAGACTATATATTATGAAGTCCCCGTTAATGTTTGAAAGAGCCACCATATAATATGCAAATAAGTTTTTATTGGTACAGATTATCAAATGGACCATGATATCTAGATTTCCACATTCTCTGAGATGGACCTTGGATGTTTGTTCTATTTTAAATGAATTCCCGAGCAAATTTCTGCTCAGAATACTCCTGCTGGTGAAAAGAACATTTAGTAGTAGCCTAATCCTTGTGCCTCATCCTAGGCTACTTATCCCATGTTTCTGAGAAATCTCAAAACTGTATAGAGCAGATTTTTAGGGTTTTGTATGCGAAGGAGGACAAGCCTATTAATGGAGAGCTCCACCTTATTGTCCATAGGCTGCTGTTCTGGACCCATCTTGTCAGATAAGTAATGGACATGCCCGTTTTATATTTGTCTAATATAGTATTTTTATTCTTTTCTCTCTTCAGGCTGTTCTCTCCCATATGGCTGTGGCAGACTGTGCAGTTGTTGGTCAAGAGGATCAATTAAAGGGCCATGTTCCTCTAGCATTGTGTGTTCTGAGAAATGGTGAGAACTTGTTCATTTACAAAGCTGAATTTATCTTTAGAGTTTTGAAGTGAATGATTTGCTTGAGATTGTTGTCTTGATTTGGCTGTGATAGCCAATAAAGCCACTTATCTTGTGCTCTTATATGCTTATTAGAAATTGATATTGAAGAGGAACAACTGTTGGAAGAAATTGTTACACGAGTTAGAGAAGATATTGGTCCTGTGGCAGCTTTTCGGAAAGCAGTATTTGTGAAACAAATACCAAAAACCCGTTCTGGCAAGATACCACGATCAGCTCTTGCTTCTCTTGTGAATGGGAAGCCATACAAGGTAACTACCATAAATACAGAATATAGTAAGGTACTAGACAACCTGTGACCCACCATGTCATTGTTTCAGAGATATTTCCTTACCCAAATACAATAGAGAAACAGACTGACCATTGGTGGGCAAAAAGGAGAGGGAGCAATTTATTAATTTGTCATGTCCCTCACAGAGTGACTCTGGGCAGTGTACAATTAAATATTAAAAGCATAAAAAACAGTAGGTAAAATTTAAAAGAGGCAAGGAATGTTAAAAATTGATTTAAAAAGAGGGGGAGGGCTTTCAGAGTGCCAACCAGCCCCACAACTGCATTTTCAACTGCTTTTATGGCTTTGTGGAAGGTAAAGAAACAGATAGGCACCCAATGCAGCTTACACAGCAGAAATGTTACATGCACCAATCTTTGGATGTCCAGGATTGCCTTTATGGCTGCATTTTGTACCAGCTGAAGCTTCTGGATACTTTTCAAGGGTAGCCCTATGTAGAGTGCATTGCAATAGTCCAGATGGAAAATGACCAGGGAATGGGTCATTTCCTGGCAAATAGGTGGGGAAGAAATGGAGGTAGTGACAGATTTTATTTTTCTGGGCTCAAAGATCACCTCAGATGGGGACTGCAGCCAAGAAATTAAAAGATGCTTGCTCCTGGGGAGGAAAGCTATAGCAAATCTAGACAGCATACTAAAAAGCAGAGACATCACCCTGCCAACAAAAGTGCGTATAGTCCAGGCCATGATTTTCCCAGTAGCAATGTATGACTGTGAAAGTTGGACCATAAGAAAGGCTGAGCGCCAAAGAATTGAGGCCTTTGAACTATGGTGCTGGAGAAGACTCCTGCGAGTCCCTTGGACTGCAAGGCGTTCAAACCGGTCAGTCCTAGAAGAGATCAACCCCGACTGCTCTTTAGGAGGCCAGATCCTGAAGTTGAAATTCAAATACTTTGGCCACCTAATGAGAAGTAAGGACTCACTGGAAAAGGGCCTAATGCTGGGAAAGATTGAGGGCAATAGAAGAAGGGGACGACAGAGAATGAGATGGCTGGATGGAGTCACTGAAGCAGTAGGTGTGAACTTAAATGGACTCCAGAAGATGGTAGAGGACAGGAAGACCTGGAGGAACGTTGTCCATGGGTCACGATGGGTTGGACACGACTTCGCAATTAACAACAACAACAAAGGGAAGGCATGCAGTCGGTGGTATAAGTTGGAAAAAGTGCCTGGGGTGCATGTGAAGTGCCGTGTGGGTTGGATTGGGCATGTAGTGGGGCAGTGCAGTGCAAGAAGAATGCATGGGAGTTGCAGGGATATGTGAGAAGTGCTGTGCCAATGGGGCATGGTGTTGTGAGGTTGGGAAGGGTGCCTAGAGGTACATAAGAGCTGCCACATGAGTCAAGAAAGATGTGCAAGGGGCAGTGTGCATTGGGAAGAGGACATGCGAGTGCACAGGAGGTACTGCATGTTATCAAGGAAGGTGCACAGGTGGGTTGGGGAGGATATAGGTATTGTAGGTGTGCAAGAGGGCTGGGAAGAGTACCCAGATTTTTTTTCCTCCCTGTTCCTTTCCCCTTTCTTTCCCTCAGCAACAGCCAGGTAAGTGTCTTCTGCTGGATGCGGGAAGGAACAAGGGATTGCAAGACTGTCTGGCAAACTGTCACAGAACATTGTAAATAAAGACCATATGACTATAGCAGCAGTTTGGTATTGCAGCCACCGCCAGTATAACAGAAACTGCACAACTTTCCCAAATTTCATTCCCTTGGAAATCATGAGTCCTGATTTTGGTCACATTCTGTAAGTTGGCTGATCTGAAATACCTTTAATTGTTGCCCTATGATGCATTGTCTTTTCATGGGCAAATACTGTCTTATATATGATTTTCACAATTTTAATTTGCCATATTAAGATTCTTGTTTTTTTTTTTTCATTTTTTTTTCAGATAACCCCAACTATTGAGGATCCTGCTGCGTTTAAACATGTAGAAGAAGTGTTAAAAAGATTAAAATAACATTTAACAAACACTAAAATGTAAGGAAGACCTGCATTACTTACTGCAATTTGTTACGCCAGAAATACAAGTAAAATGTTGATTTTATTTCTGTAAATGTGTTACTGAATCTTAGATTACAGTAACAAGTAATATTCAGTTGGTGGTGTAAATTTTACAATGAGCTATTTAGATGATTTTAAATTTTTTAATTGTAATTAAAACTGTATGAGCAAATATTAGTAATACACACATTGTTCTTAAGTACAGTGCAAAAGATGACATAATTTAAATTCTGTTAAAATTATATTTGTTTCTTTCAGTGCCAGGATGAAAATTAATCTCAGGCCTTAAAGTTTTCTTTGTCTGAAACACCCATACTTGCACTGAAGTTTTTTAAGTAGCTCAACATTGGTAGCTACAATTTGTTGTTGTAACATACAGATTTAAATTTTGAGTAATAAGGTAAAGAAAATGGATGCTAATGGAGTTAATCACTAGTCTACATTTATCTATGGTCTGTAATCTGTGCTCTTTAGGCAGAAATTAGGTGTCCAGTTCAGCTCTTCTACTCTATCGAGCCTCTGCACTATCAGCCCCCTCTACCACAAAGATCCTGCAGGAGAAGGGCAGTGTGGGATCTGGCAGGGTGAGAACTGTGAACCATAAACACAAAGCTTTTGCTGTGTCCCTGCACAACAAGTACAGTGCCCTTGCTGACCTTAATAAGGACATTAAGGGAGACAGGTAAAGGTATTTGCGATGATAATTCAAATAAGCAGGGGATTGTGGTCCGAGATGAAGAACTAGTTTTTGACAGGGAGAAATACGAATCAGGTATTACACATCAGTCATCCAAGAACAGAAAGGCATCGAAAAAGAGAAGCCACCTTTTGGTTGGTGATTAAATTATAAGGGATGTAAATTTAGGAAAGGACACAGAGGTTTCGAAAGAGGTCAGATGTCTTCCAGGTGCTACTGTCAGTAGGGATAAGAAGTGTATTTCTAAAATAATCAAGAATGCCACTAAGGACTGTGATGTGGAGGCTATTGTTCATTTTGGCACTAATGATCTGTCCCCAAAAAGATGTACTCTCTGTGCAGAATGATTTCCAGAGCTTGGGGCAGGAACTAAGCAGAATAGGCTGTAAGCTTACTTTTTCCAGAGGTTTTACCAATGTATAAGGAGCAAAATGAAAAAGGCCAGCATATAGCAGAATTCAATATGTGGCTAAAGGAGTGGTGCAATGTGGGAATAATTGCATAGATCTGCTTATAGACTTGCTCTCATACAGTCCTTGACATACCAAAGCAGACCGTTCCAGCCACGGAACACATCCATCAGCCATTTGGACAGGCTATGATAAGAACACGGGAAACAAGATGAATGAGTCATTACCCACCTGCACAGCCTTGCATCTGGAAAGTATCTGCTATGTGATACATTGTAACCGCCCTTGTATACGCCTTTTTATTACGCCGTGTGATGTAGAAACTATTGTAACAATAAAAGAGGGTCTTGGAGTCAGCTCTGGGCTCTTATCCCGAGATACCTACGTCCGTGTCTCATTCTTCATGGGAGACCACCACAACTGGTGACCCCGACATGATCCACTAAGGGATACGTCCCTGCCGACCCTTTACTTATTGCCTGGAATAGGCTTAGTGCACCCGACGACGTTCCTGGCGACACTCCTCTTCGTAAATATGGGGGGTGGAATGTCTCACACTCAAAAGCATCATGTGGAAGAGCTGAGACTACTTGGCAGGAAAAAATATCTTACTAATCAGGAACAGAAAGTAACCCGTCACCTTTCTAAATCTGAGGCTGTTAAATTGCTTGCTTACGTATGGGCTAACTGCTCATCCTATCTGGAGTCTGGATCTTTAAAAGTAGATACATGGAGAAAAATTGGCGCCGTTCTCCATCAGTCTCCGAGAGCCCCACCAGAGATTTTGTGCCTTTGGAAAATTGCCTATACCCTGATTCAAACCCATGCTGACTCGCCTCATCAGCCTTTATTAGACCCTCCACCGTACAAAAGTCCGTCTGTTATGTTGGCCACTCCCTTGCCACCCAGAGCTGGTTTTAACCCTCCTTCTGCCCCTGAAAATTCTATGGATCCTGATAAACAACAAACAGCCTCTCCTGTTCCTGCCACGTTACCGCCTGTCTCCCGGCCCGGAATCATCCGTGGTGCTTTTCAAAAGGCTTTGAAAAATGGTGATTTGAGCGTCTCTGACCTATCCGAGACAGAGTTGTTCCCTGTTACTTACCAACAGACCGCAGCGGGCATAGTGGTTGATTGGGAAGCACTTCCCCTGGCTATGATCCGAGAATTGAAAAAGGCTACAAAAGATTATGACATAACCAGTCCCTATACTCGGGGACTGATACACTCAGTTGCTAGCGCATATTGAATGTTGCCTCAAGATTGGAGAGATTTGTTCCGTATGCTTCTTAACGGAACGCAATACGTAGTTTTTGAATCTGAATATAAGAGAGAGGCACAAAACAGAGCTAATCACCCAGGTTCACAATGGACAGCGGAACAACTCTTCGGAGAAGGCACTTTTGCTACCCTTAATGCTCAGGCTCAAACTTTCACCCCCTTCGCATTCCCGATCATTAATTCTTGTGTTCTTTCCGCCAGGCTCGCGTTGATGAGTCTGGCACCCCGATTCAGTCTTTTTCTGCCATTCGCCAAACCGCGACTGAATCCTATGCAGACTTTGTGAATCGCCTGCAAGTTGCCATTGAGCGTCAAATTTCAAACAGAGATGCGGCAAATGAAATCCTCATAAAATTGGCTTATGAACATGCAAATGCGGACTGCCAGTCCATTCTTAAACCACTTGTTTCCAGTCCCACGGCTACTCTTGCAGACTTTCTTAAAGCCTGCTGCATTGTGGGAACCAATGCTTTTCAAATGGACACTCTTGCAGCCGCAATCCAAAAGGGGAATCAACCCCAAGGCACTTGCTTCAATTGTGGAAAACCTGATCATTTTAAAAAGCAATGAAGAGCCCCAGGAGGCGGCGCGGCTCGACCCGCTGCCATCCCCGGAGCCAAGCCCAAAACTGTGTGCCCAAAATGTAAAAAGGGTTTTCATTGGGCCAATCAGTGTCGTTCCTCTCAGTCCAATTGGGGAAACTAATAGAGGGGTCTGCAGCTAACCCCTCTCGAAAGGCTGCACCCTTTTCAGACTCTACTCCTTCTTCTGCTTCGCAATATTTTTCTGGCATTGATTTAATATTGGCTTTTGATCTTTCTGTTACTTTTCCTAACCTACTCACGGTTGCTGAAACCCTTTATTCCGGACCCTTGCCTCTGGAAACGGAGGGAATGATCCTCCCCACACCTGTTGCCTGGGAACAAGGAGTGTTTGTGCTTCCAGGTATGATAGATCCCACGTATAGAGACACCCTAAAAGTCCAATTTTATACCAACCTCTCTGTCACAATGAACCGGGGGGATACGGTGGCACGCTTGGTTCTATTACCGCGTGCAGCGCTATCCCTTCCAGAGGCTGCATATGTGCCTCACTCTGGGAACCCTTCCTCTGATTTATTGGCACTAACAAAGCAAATTACTCCCCAAAAAATAGTGATGCCTTTTTTAATCAATGGCATTCTCTTCTCTGGTCTTGTAGACTCCGGTGCGGATGTCTCAGTCATAAGGACAGCTGAATGGCCCTCTAACTGGCCCCTCGAATCCTCACCGGCAGTCAGGAGAGTGGGAGGACTTCAACAAGCAAGCTCCAGTAAAAATTGGCTTACTGCACAACGAATCACAAAAGGCATTTCTGCTAAATTTAAACCTGTCGTCCTCCCCCTTTACACAAATTTATGGGGCAGAGACTTACTCTCTCAATTTGATGCGAAGTTAATTCTTGAAGACTAATAAAGCCTTCTTCACCCATGAAGCTTATGCTCCTTTCTGACACCCCCATATGGATAGACCAATGGCCACTTACTTTAGAAAAACAGCATTGCAGAAACTGATATATCAGCAAATACAATCTGCCCATTTGGAACCAACCATCAGTCCTTATAACACCACAGTATTTGTAGTCAAGAAGAAATCAGGCAACTGGAGAATTATTCATGATCTCCGTCTTATCAACACAATAATTAAACCCATGGGTCCGCTACAGTGCGGAATGCCCAACCCAAATATGATCCCCAAAAACTATGATTTGGCGGTTATTGATTTAAAAGACTGTTTTTTTACCATTCCTCTACACCGTGATGACAAACAACTTTTTTCCTTTTCTTTGCCTCAAACTAACATGTCCTGACCTACTCCTCGCTATCAGTGGACTGTTCTTCCCCCAGGCATGCTTAACAGCCCCACTATATGTCAAGCTTTTGTGGACGCTGCCTTGTTGCCTTTTCGCAAATTCTATCCTAACTTTTTGCTTTATCACTATATGGATGACATTCTCCTAGCCGAACCGGGTCCTCCCGGCACGGTGCAAACTGTCCTCCCCCAACTCATTCAGCTTTTAGCTTCTTATGGCTTTATTGTCGCCCCGGAAAAAAATTCAGACCCATTCTCCCTTTTTATATCTGGGACACAAAGTCCTAGCCTCTCATTCTATTCCAGTACTCCCTACCATTCACCTTCCTTCTCCTCTTACTTTAGTTGTTCTACAACAAATCTTGGGCACCATAAATTTTGTGCGCCCATTTCTTGCACTCACCACTGCCCAATTGGCACCCTTGTTTTTGGCTCTGTGTGGCCACACTTCCCCCTCCTCTGTTGTTGTTCTTAACCCCACTCAAAACAAGTCTTTGCCTTAATTAATAGTACCCTCTCCACCCGCTGGGTGGACCGAGCCATTCCCAATGAGCCTCTGTCTTTGGCTATATTTAATACTCCTTCTATTCCTACAGCTGCCCTTCTCCAACATCAAAAGGGGAGGGTCTCCATTGTCGAATGGATTCACCTCCCCAATACCCCTCGCAAATCTATCAATCCACTGCCATGTATGTTTGCTCTTTTAATTACGAAGGGCCGTTTTCGAGCAAAATGTTTAATTGGATTTGATATTGTTTTTTTATATGTCCCCATGTCTCTTACTATATGGGAACCTTTATTTGCCTCTTCAGATGTATTGCAACTTTCTCTTGCTGATTGGGCAGGATCTGTTTCCTGTCATATTCTCTCTGACCCTCGCTTCCAACTCCTTAATAATGTCTCAATTTCTCTGCATTCCCCTATTTCTTCTTCTCCCATTCCTAATACTGTCACCCTCTATGTTGATGGTAGCAAGACCTATGGCTCATGTGTATGGAAGGAGGGTGAACAATGGCACACAAAAATTACTCCTCCTCAAACTTCTGCTCAGCGTGCTGAACTTGCCGCTACAATCTTAGCTTTACAAACTTTTCCTTCTGAACCTTTTAATCTTATTTTAGATAGTCTTTATGTATATAAAGTTCTCACCTCTTTATCTGACTCATATGTGTCACCCTCATTGGATGACTCTCTCCTTAGTTTATTTCTCACACTCCAGTCCCTTCTCCATTCCCGCTCTACTTATTTTTTTCCTGCTCATATTAGAAGTCACCAACCTTTCCCTGGTATTATCTCCGAAGGCAATGCCAAGGCGGATGCTGCCGCTTTGGCCGCCTCGACTCACCAGGACGTTTCTGTCCTTGTTTTATCTCCCATAACCCCATGAGACAGCCATTTGTATTTTCATCAAAA